AAATGGATGTGCCCCCCCCCGCCGATCTTTGTGGGCTTGCTTAAGCCGTTCCGGAATCCGGCGCAAGAGAACGCGGAAGCGTTGGCTCCGGGGCGGTCTCCACAGGCGCTCTATTCACCCGGAAGCTGGATCAGCAACTGGTTTTTGAGCACGGAGCGCAGCGATCTCCATATTCAACGGCGCCTGGCGCTCCACCTTCGGGTGAAGTGACGAATTCGGCTGCTTAACGGCCAGAAGCTGCTCCGACAGAGCGTGATAATCCTCAACATGACAGCCGGTGCACAACGTGCTCCAAGCTCTCTATGCAGCGGAGCTGCCATAGCACTTTTGCTTAGAGGAAGCTTGGAAATGGTCGGTGACCTTAGCTCTAAACTTGATACCAGTACGAGTGTAGCAAACCGCTAACTCCAAGAAAAATCACAACCTTAACTTAAGGCAATTAAACTCTTTCGCTTGAAACAAAAATGTTTTTTTTGGGATACAGGCGGCGAAGCCGCCTGTATCCAGATCTATAGGTTTTCTAAGTAAAAAGGAAACCCCTATTAAAATGCATGACTACTGGCAGTCCAGTCACGAACTGACTTCTTGTTATGGTGTAACCACACCAATGCGTGATCACGCCGTTTTGTTTAAGCCACATCCTAGCATAGCCCACCCATTTTGTGCGACCCACCCCTTCATACCAGGGTACATTTAACCCCGTTACACTATAGGCCTTCCGCGCAGCGGTATGCGACCCAGCATGATGCTCAGCGGAGTCACGATCGCAACAAACCTCGTTCTCAAGAGCTCAAAAATTATCGCGTGTCACTTGATGGCGATCAACACAGTCGTCGTTGTCCGCCGCCGACTCTTCCTGACAAGTGGTGGATTTTTTATCACGTGGAACGACTTGTAGGTCGACGTCGTCGCCAGAGTCGAACCCAGTATCTTGTAAAGTAACGGGAATTCCCCGAGAACTGGTGGAAGCTTAAAGTGACACTTCGGCAAGACTACCAAGACGTCGTGGACGCCTATGATAACAGGGATCATGACGCTCCGCTTCATTGTACGCCCCGCACTTCTCGGTGGTAGCCAGGGAAGCTGAAGGGACACGAGCTGAGCTCAAGTTATGACTTTGAGCTACTGCTGTCGCAGACTCACACGTGTGAGAGACCACAGAGCGTGACGGATCGACTTGCGTCGCACGGCGACAAATCAAAGGAAGTCGGCGACGCGCTTTGAGTTTGGCAGACTCAAACCGAAGATGGCATTCCACGCCCGCGCCCACCTCTTTGTGACTCAAGTGTAATTTGATGCGAGGAAGCTTTCCGGTGCCGCTACACCCATTGCTCAAAGATCTCTTCGTCATCTGCAGCGGTTTCGCCAGAGGCGAGCACCACAGAATCGTTTGCATCGCGGGTGCAGGAGCGCCTCCTCTTTGAGCACAAAGTCGAGTGCGGTACGTATCCACCGGAATTTCTTGCGGAACCAAGAAGCGTGCTCGAGGATCTTTTCTTGGTCAAGCTCAGCTTGTGTAGTGGCCGGGGCACGTTCATGTAGACAGCCAACAATCGATTGATTGCATCCTTCACATTTGTAGCAGGATCCAGCCGTATTCCACACGAGAGTCAAGGACGGACCGTGAATGCGCGTGCATAAGAGCCGCCTTGCGGACAGCATCCATCTGCTGCTTCTGTGCCTCGCCGAGTTCATTGATAATGACACCACTTCCCCCGGAGGTCAAGAGTTCGGGAATCGGACACGGCATCCGCAATGTTTGAGCAGGGCTCCCGTCGCGCCGTTGGTACACCTCGCCCTCTTCTTTTTCCCATCCTCGGGAAGGGGTATCCAAATCGTAGTCAACTTCCACTTAAACCTCAACGAGGTAATCCATCGCCCGTGGCGGGCGCGAAGCGCGGTCGGGAGTAGACATCGAGTCTGCGTTATTGCTCGTGCGACGTTGCTGACAATGCGCTGCGCGGTACTCGGTTACCGATAGCTTGGGCTGCGCTTTCCTTGAAGCAGTGGACTTGCTGTTCGAATTTGCACCGGGTGCAGGAGACGAAGAAGAGCTCCGCCCGCGGGCGTTCTTTGAAGCAGCGAGGCTGGGAGTCTTCCGTGTCCTCGACACAGGGCTCATTGAGCAGAGAACTTGTGAAGAAGGTCCAAGTGATGTTGTGGTGTCTTAGACACGCGAGCCTCGTTCGAGGTGGCACCTGAATGTAAACTGTAGGTGTTCACAATCTTAATCAGGAGAGTGTAATGGGGTTTCACGTGCCCTGGTATGAAGATATATGGGTCGCACAAGCTGGGAGGACCATGCAAGGATGTGGCTTACACAAGACGTTGTGGCCACAGAATGATGTGCCTCACTTTAACAATAAGTCAGTTCTGCCAAAACTTATGTATTTTAATAATATTTTCTTTTTAATTAGTTAACTACAGATCTAGATATAGGCAGCTTTGCTGCATATAAAATCAACAAGTACAATTTGTATTTTGAACTGACGAGTTTATTTGTTTTGGGTTTTGGTTGTTATAACTATTAGAGTAGGTGGATTGCGATCCGCTACACTTCTATTAGTTTTGAGTATAGAACGAAGGTCACCGACCTTAACCAAGCTCCCTCAAAGCGAAAGAGCTACGGCAGCCCCGATGCAAACATAGTGTAGCGTCATTAATGATGTTTCGCTTGCGGAGCACGAAGCAGGCAAAGTAGATCCCCCCACTGGGTACAGACTTCATGCGGGCAAATTATACATGGCCATGCAGTAAGTAAAAAAGTAGATTCCTGGGAAGTACGTGCTGCAGTACATCAAGGTCGATCTGTGCCGTTTACAAAGCTCCTAATTTTTTTAAAAATATAGTGGTATTTTTCTCATTGTATCGCGGGATTTGGGCGGGTTGCATCGAAAGTAGCATTCTACACCCAGGGATCAATATACCCCACTAATGAAGTTTTACCGTCTAGCGACAAAGCTTTAAAAGTCACACCAAACATACACACATACCTATTTCGCCAATACATTCTCCTGCAGAGTAGAGCACGGAAGTCGGATGTGGACGTTCACATCAAGCCCTTTAAGAATGACCTCGAGTATGTTTGCCTGAATAAGATAGAGTAATATTTCTTTTTGACCCACAAATGCTTCATCAGGAGGCATAGTTTGTAGACAGATTTCGCAAGGAATAAAGCTATTACAGATTGGCAAGTACCACGATCTCAAGGAGACAATAAACCGAAATTGGTCTGAACAGAAATTTTGACAAGTATAATAAAATCTTAGTCGAACTGACCCAAAACATCACTAATCTCTTGATAAAATCTTAAACTGCGTTGGGAAGGTGTTATCTGAACCTAACAAGAGAATATTACAAAACTTGTTGTGGGCTGAACGGCGTCTTTGTCACCTCCGACAGACGATATCTGTATTCAAAAACGCACTGTACCCGTTGAGATCAGCTTGTGGCGATGTTTCCTAGGTAGCTCTATTATTCCAAGAGTGCCACATTTCTATGCTAAATTCCATTTCAGCTTTTGATAAATAAATACTTATTATTATCTTCGATAATCAAATTTATTTTGCTTGACGCGCGGCCACCAATCAATTTCAACCACGATTCTCCTCTACGCTGAGTCCCATTATTGCCCCAAGTGGTGACACTTTGGTAATAAAACTACTCGAAATAACGCAAATGTTTCTTACTAAGGCGTATGTATACATTTGTGTGATACATACTCAATAGCACGCTCCTCCATCGAGATGTAAACTACAACAGTTTTCATATTTAGTCTTTCTCTTAAAGACCTTGACCTATGCGCACGAAGATAAAACTTCTGCTTGTTGCACTCGTTAGATCCTACTCCACAAAATATTTCTATAACGACGATTCTCTCTCATTCACGTCACTACATAGCTCAGCGCGCTTGGTAGATCTGGGCAATCCTTGCGACTGGCGCCATGAATGAAAGCTGAAATGATCATCGATGCGAACAGCTGTAGAAATTTGATGATCCCTTATGATCAAACCACTCATCAAGGAGAGGCGCTCATTGCGCTCCTCTTCTTGTCTGCTTAAGTAAATATTTCGGTACCATTTATCAAAGAGTTTTATGTCATTCTCTCACGACGTGTAGGTTCGCGACACATCTACCGAGGAGCACACGATGAAGTCAAGCTCTATAACCTTAACAGACTGAGCCTGTTTTAAACAGTTTGCTCGTTTGCAAGCACATTCTCACGGCGACCCGATACGATTTCTCACGCCATGATTCTAGCTCCAACCTTATCAGAAATTATTCGTCATCCAAAAGCAGAGCGCTTACACGTCTCTGCGTGCGAGTCGTCTTCTCACAGCTAGAGCAAATCGAGTACCAAGAAGCTTCTCAGCTAGCATTAACTAATCCTAAAGGTCACCATTCTTCAGGAGTATCACCTGCGCGTAGAGCAGCAGCGGTTGGGAGAATCCGTACTTTCCACAAATAATGAAATTTTGTATGCTGGGGAAATGCCAAAGCGTATCGTTTATTTCGAGCACTGGTTAAGGAAAAATGGGATGTCGTACCCTTTGAGGGACAGATACAATAAACAAGCAATTTGCTTGTCGATTTAATGCTTAACATTGTAAAGTATGAAGGATGACGCGGAAGTGGAACTGAATTCTTCAACCTCCGGTTCTTGCTGATAACGGCCCCACTCGTCGCAATGCGACAGCTGTACTCTTCTTGAGACACTCTTTTTTCGGGCTGGGTCCCTTTGGCTGGGTCCCATTGACCACACATTTCAAGAAATTTACCAGATATCATCTCTTTTCTAGTAGACCACTTTGCGTCCATCAAACCATGATATTCTACCGCAAGGTGTTCATTAATCGACTCTTCGCGGTAGCTCGACCCTTCATATGCCTGGTTAAGTGGCGAGAACACTCGCAAAAGCTGACGCTTCTGTTCCCTTAAGGAAAGGAATGCCGCAACAACTGAAGCACCGCATCAACCTTGCAGATCAGACTTACTAGTCACCGATATAAAAGCTTTGCTCTTCGTGAAGCCGTGGAAAGTCTCGAAGAATTTGTGGAGTGTCGTGCCATTATGTACGACGCACGACAGTCAAAAACGGGTGGCACGAGGAGGCATTGAAGATGCCATACACGGGATCGATTTTGTGGCATTTAAATCAGAGCCAAAAGTTAATGTGTCAGAATTTCCTTGGGACCTGTGAGGATTTTGACACGGTGACAAGTTGTATTGTTTAAGACCTGGGTTCGATTTATTCTGTGTATGGCAAGTTTTGGATTCTTAAGCTTTAAACTGATCGCAAGTAATAATTGGTTGGGTGCATGCACATTAATTCTGATTGAGCTTGAGCAAGTATTAAAATACGTCAGCTAGAAATCAGAAGCACATGTGGTGTGGGCAAGAAGCTATTGTAGCTTTTGTGCAAGGCATGGAACTGTCGCTAGTGAAGCAATGAAATTGTTAGTGTTGGATTAGAGCTTGGGATGCAGAAGCCGCAGTAAGCCGCGGATTCACGATGGGGCATAAAAAAGCGATTGTTCATCGCGACGCATGTAGTGATGTTTTGCTGAGACAGGAATGAACGCTGATTTGTCGTGGTGGTCAGCGTGTATTGCTAGTACGTTAGCTGTAAGATAGTGTCATTTGTATCAGAGACGACGAAGCTGGAAAGCGACTGTTACTCGCGAGTTAAAACGTCAGGACCCGTAAAAATGAAGGATGTCTCGTCTTATTGCGACGTGATCGTACTGCTGAGTCGACACAACCGATATAGGTGTTCACTGGTTAAGTTCGACCAGGATTTAACAAGAAACATATTCAGCTGTCGACCAGGGTATCTTATGGTTGTAAGCGTCCCCACAAAACATCCAGTAGAAGCTCTTACGAACTAGATATTTTATCTTTAGCGAATATATTATAAATAGGTAAAGTCAGCGCAAGGGAAGTTGGAGGTAAATATCAACTCAAAACTTGCAGGCAGTTGTTTAATGTATACGCTTGAAACAGCTGTTTGCCTTCAAGACAATAACATTGTCGGCGCCGACAACCTGGCTTTCAAAATTGCTTCAATTCAAAAAACCTGTTTTGCAGGTAGAACCTGCACAGATAGAGATAAGTGGTTATGGCTGGTGTCTTTGTCCCAAAGGGGCTTAAGGGAGTAGACTTGTACACCAGTTTAGTGCACGCAATCTGTACCAACATAGAACGTCCTCTAATAATTCTTTGTCAAAAGGGTCAAATGGTGCTGAAGTGCGGAGAGGAAACCTGGAGCGAAATTCCTATCGATGCCCCGATTCTGACACTTCGAATTCAGATTAGTCACTTCATGTCGTGTGAACGCTTTGATCTTAACTTTAGGCTATTGTTACTACAAGATGTAAATTCGAGCCCCATCAGCATCTGCATTCAAGCTTCTCCAGTTTATAACGGCAAAGTAAATGTACTGTTCACGCAAAAGGGCTTTTTGCAATGACCTTTATCTTTTATACTTAGAATTTTTCTGCTTGGTTTATGTTGTTTGTGATTTAAATTTCTTTGCCTTCTGCATTCGCGGTGGCGGCGGCACCGATCGCTGAGATGATACATACCGCGCACATATCAAACGATGTGTGTGTTCCGTCGATTAAGGCGTGGGTATATGGATTATAAAATATCGAATACCGCTATCTTAAGGCGCGCAATCGCACAATTGCTCCGCTAATTCTCACCCCAAGCTTTGCTTAATTTCGGCACTGATCTGATTTGACACGTGACGTGTGGTAAAACCTCATGATGCGGATCTCAATTGCATGATGCTGTACGAGGCACATGACGCCCTTTCGGAAGAACACATCGAAAGAAAATCGGCGGACTGCTTGGTGGGCGCTATGTATTGATGTCTTAACATGTATAAGCAGATAAGAACATATTTGCGCATGTTAGAGCGTATCACTGGTTGAACGCTCATGGCATGCAGCGGCACCTGTGTAGGTCTTCGCGGCTCCATCGAAAGAGGTTGAGTAGACTCGCAACATCCCGAAGGATGCAGATTATACAAACTGTGTTTCACGGGGGGGGAAATGATGCAATTAAACGATCTTACTCTTACGAGCCAGTCACACGGAAGAGAACTATTTTTGACAAATTCGCAAATCTACCAACCTCTTTAGCTGATATATTCTCTTCTCTAAAGTGGCGACACAAATATAAGCCGCTAAGGGTACGCCGTGCGATGGCGATGCGCATTGTGAATGTCATTTTTGTTGCAGTAATCAGTCATTTGGTGGATTGGACAAAAATTCAAAATAAGTCAGTAATAAGTTATTAGTTGGAGTTAATCCTTACCTACTCTAACGTCTTCTTAGTTTTCAAAGTTCATTGTCGGTAGGTGATTTTTTTGAAGAAGTGGTGATCCATTCTCCTTTACTTTCAAGCCTCTGTAGTACTTTTAACTGCCTCGTGGTGAGGACCAACAGTTTCGTAATAATATTTTAGATTTTAGGCTGAATTTTGACACAAAGAAATTTGTATTATTTGATGTCAACATTTAACGAAAACATCAATTCGTCAAAATTACAAACAGCTTAAGAGCTTGCGATGTCATAATATCGTTTCATACTCCCATGAATCCCCAAGTCCACTAGCCTCGCAATAGACGGCAATATCTGGAATCATTTCAAAGGCAATCTTGGTCAAGTAGAGAGACCTGATCACTACATCGTTTGGACTTCGATTTGCTGTTGAGCGTATCTGAGACTCAGAAATACTGCTGTGTTGACTAACATTGCTATCACGGAATCATAGACAAGAACATTCAATGCCATACTTCTGACAAAGCCTGAGAGTCGACGCGTTCTTTACTTTTTTCTCAATTTGGTATGCAATTTTTACGCCCTACAAAGATCATTCAGTATGGTCATAACCGCGCGCCCAGCGAATTCGCAGATAACTTCAGCCATGGAAATATGTCTTTCCCTCCGTTCACGCATAGCCTCATTCTCGTAAGCTCCACGTATGTGCAATTTTGTTCGTGTACTCTTTTCGGTAAGCGCGAAATGTAGTGAAGCGTCATCTATTCTGGATTTCGCCCAAGATTTTACACGTCCGTTTCCATCAGTACGTCCTCAATATCCAACCTCCTCTCGTAAGAAACGGCTTTTAAAGAAACGATAAGACTATTTTGATAATAAACCTAATCGGAGTATTTGCTACATAAAAGTGATCTAAAACACAAGCCTAGATTTCTTAATATAACCCAACAATCGCATCTTAATTATGAGGAAATGTCAACATTGCCCGCTTTCGTTTCTATGCCTCATGCTGAGGCGAAACCCTTGATGACGCCATGGCGATGGGTTCCAAAACCGGCAAACGACTTCTTCATTCACGCTTTCGTTGAATGCTATTTTTATACAGTTTAATACACCAGAAAATGATATGTGCAGATTATATTGCTTAAGATGTAGTAAACAGCACAAGACAATGCTTGACTCATAGCTCATAGTAAAGATTCACGCAACCATCCAAATATTTAGAATGAGACCGGATAGAAGACTCCAAGTCGATCTTTAGTCTTCACCCCGACTTTCATTCAAAAAAGCACAACTCAGCTTTTATACTACTTCCAATGTCCGCCTACTGTTCTCGTCAGAGCTGTCACTACTTTCCGTCGAGCTAGCGTACTCATCTTCCTGTAGTTTTTGGGGTGTTGATACGCGAAAGACAAACGATTGCGCAACAATATCGTGCTGGCGAGGACTGCTGAGACTGATAGGCATAGCGATCGAATACTTGACAAAGTTACCAAACTTTTCGTGCTTTGAGACAAGAAATATTCCAACAGCCACAAGAAGAATTGCTGTAGGAAACATGATCCACTGAGTTCTCGTAAAATTGTGCGCTTGTTGAAAGAATACGACACCGCTGATGTTGCTCATAGTAATCCAAAATCCCTGAAAAACAGGATACGATGACATTGTATCTCCACACATTGTGGCTAAATTCAATGTGTGGGTCTGTGTCAATAGTGTACCTGCCATTCCCGCACACAACAAATATGTGCCAAAGTACTGGAATTGATTATCACCCGAGACTGACGACGAAATAAGTTCGACAACGCACTTGGCTAAGAGCACCGACTGGCCACCAATTGTGCCGGAAATGGCAGCCCAGTACAGCGGCAACTTTGGATCAATAATCAATGTGTGTTTCTCAATTTCGCTCTCATCATATTTACCAATTTTGAGCCGTGATAGAACGATTTCCTCCAAACTATCGTCCTCTTCTTGGCCCATTGGAGATAGCGACAAATGATCGCCAAATATCGGGGACGGGAAAGGTGACATCATGATACTCCTGCGCTTTTGAGGCTCTTCAAGTGCAGGCGACTCTTCTGTACTCTTTTGCTTTGATGCGAGCTCGCGCTTTTTTTCCTGCACGTCATCCACACGAGCATCGTCCTTGTCATTACTAGCAACACGCAGTGCTGGAGCTTTCGAGCGACGTGCACGCATGTAGAGTGTCATACAAAACGCCGTGGTAATCAGTGCATAGAGAATAAAAGGCGCAGCCTCCATCAATGTATAGATCTGATCCATTTGGTAATGACCTTCATCCTCTTCACTAGCTGCAGCCAAAACGACGACACCGAGTGATACAAACGCGACGCCAACAATATCCGTTAAGTATAAACTTTGTTTTAGCCAAAAGTGGGACATAAGGCAATTGCCTAATATAGTCGAGCCACCACCAAGTGAAGCTACTAGCGTTTGTGGTGCAAAGCCTAGCGCCAAAAAGTCGCCCAAAGACGCACCCACGACACATATCATACCGACCCACCAAATTGGTCGCATCGTATATGGACGTGGTACAGCACGTAACTCTTCTTTATCATGTGAATACTTTTGTAAATTAACACCAAAGATGGACATGAAAGCCGAAGCGACGGCAATTGCGCCACCAATAAAGTCGCTCCTCATGGGTTCGTGAAAGGTTCTGAACTGGTGAGTAGGAACCGATAGCGCTTTTTCGCTTTTTCGCTTTTTCTCGACTGACGACTGACTAGATAGGACGAATGATGTGGCAAGAATACACAGTTTCGTACAATCATTAAAGAGGGCGGAAAACCAAGTTGCCTTTATTAAGCAACCCAAAAATGCTCTTTTTTAGCAACGGCAAACTTAATTAAAGGAATATAAAGTTGAGATTCACCCTTTAGTGACAGATAAGTCATTTAAATAGGTCCAGAGCGCATGTTGACGTCCTCACGATTATTATGACACTGCTTGATGGACATAAGTGATGTCTTATCATGGGGCTGCAGTGTTGTGTGTCAATAGTCATAGCATAACCAATAAGAACCCTCCACCGCATGCTCTTCAGCTGTCACTGGCTTAAATAAAAATAGGTATTGTAAAGCTCTGGATGTCGTGGGCATGAGTTGTACACACCATAACACCGGCTCTTTAAGCAATCACAGCAAAGGAATGATATTTTTTTTATTGAATGACTGTTCAAAATGTAATGAGAGGGTAAGACGTTTCTATTAGAGCTAGCGACGGAAAACTGTGAAACAGACAAATGAAACTTCTGCCTGAATTTTATGGCTATCCTGCTCTGCCGTTGTGTGCGTTAATGGTTCAGGAGATAAGATTTCAAGAGTGCCTAGCAAATCATATGCAGTCAGATTCGAAATTCCCCTAACAGCTGCTACATTACAGATTACATGCAAAATACTAAGATAAGTCTTTGTGTCGCATACTGGTCCGACGTGACAAATGATCTTTCCACTGCCAGAAAATGTTCATTCAATACTAATGATTCATTACCACAAAGGCATTTAATTTTCTCAAAGCGTTCGAGAACAAATTTTACGTTTTGATCTCCTTTATCTAGATAAGTAGCTAACCATATTGTGGTCACGGGACGAATCTTTGTGGTCATGAGATTTGCTGTTTATATACTATGTTCCAAGAAATCCGTGAAGCCATAAAGCAGCCATGTCGTAATACATCCACCCTGTCCCAGATCGAATAAAAAGCTGCACAAAACCAAGAATAATGATGTCATTTATAACTTGCATAAATGGATACTTAATAACATTGGTAACTTTAGTATACTTAGCGTCATGAAACCGACATAATTCATGATAGATTTACCCCCGATGTGTTATAACGGCCTTGCCTTTGTAGTATACTTTCATTTCAAAGCATCGTTGCAAAATTTAAACCTTTTTACGTAGCTTGAGCGCTCGCCATCCATGGAGTACGCGAATAAAGCGGGCGTTATGGATAAAACGGCTGTTTAAAGATGGAAAACACTGCGTGAGATAAGAATAATAGAAAGATCGGTAAGTTCATCAATAAGGTTGCCATTTGTGATAATGGTTTATTGCATTTTTATGAACGGGAATTTAGATTGAAGCATGGAAAGCCAAAATCTGAATTCTGCTCATCAACAGCACAAGTACATATCTTTCCCACACAAAACTTGATTGTCTGGTCTTTTAGTGATCGAGTAATATATTCCCAACGATAGGTCAGAAACTTATGCTGTACTTAGCTGAGGAGCAAATTTTAAAAACTCGATTCATAATTTTGCCTCGATTGAAAGTGCTAAATTGTAACTCCATTTTGCAGATCTGACTTGATGTTGATTTATACATAAGAGCATGATACTACTCACAATAACGTCTATGACGGGGTAACTCCTTACAAATTATGTGCAACTCTGTTATATACAATACTGACAATTGTAATACGAAATTCACGCTGCACTTTGCTGAAATAATTAAATCGTAGAAGTACCAAAATATCAGCATGAACGAATATGCTGGAATTCCGAAAAGCTGATTAGGAAATATATAAGGTTTCATAAATGCATTTTATTATTATTCGTCAGAGCTGCACTAATTAAAAAATTATACACTCTTCAAAAGCAGATCTAACGAGACACCTACTTACTGTAAAGGATCCTTCCCGTTTAAGCAAAGCTAAAGAAAAGGCATTTTATGTAACTGTTTGTACTCGAACACAGCTCACTGTGAACAGAATCAACCCTGTTCCTCGAATAAGAGTAGTGAAGGTGGTTGAACTTACAACTTACGGTACATGCTCCAATGTATATTGAAATCAATTGACTCAATTAGCTCATACCAACGAGAAACCCAAACATTTAGGCTCTGCGTTTCCTTAAAAAGAGCCAGTCAATAAACCCCTCGTACGGAAAATTCAAGTCCTAATCGGCACAGGACGGCTTGCTGGGAAAGAGCTGAGTTTATCGGGCCTTCGAAAGATTGAGATAAGTTGTGGAACGGGGTTACACGCACCTTGGTAACAGGGGTGTGTGTCACGCGAGATGTGCATGGTGTGACTGCACCCAAACAAGAATACGGTATGTGGCTAGGTCGCCAGTAGTTATGCCCAAAATTAGGGAGATATTGACCATTTACTCTATGTATACCGGTATTATCATGTATTTAGATTTTACTATATATATTGAGTATATCGAGGAAAATCTAAACTTTTGAAACTAGAAAATGAATATCACTTTTGGATTTTAAACCGAAGAGTCAATTAGCCTTGGGAAGGCAATAACTATTCTTGGAGTATGCGGATTGCGATCCGCTAACTCATACTTGGTTCTTATAAAGGTCGGTAACCTACTTACGCTTCCCCAAAGCGCTAAGCTACGGCAGCCCCGCTGCACCTGGTAGCTCTTGTAGGCAATCTACACCTGACTGATCCTCTGTGAGGATGAAGAAATTA